TATTAACTAATTATATTAACTAATTATATTAACTAATTATATTAACTAATTATATTAACTAATTATATTAACTAATTACATTAACTTAATAGCTAACAAAATTTACAATTTATCTTACCTCTCCTATATCATAAATATGAACACGTCCATCAGAAGATCCAATTACTGTCTTTCTTCCTTCTTTATCCCATTGAACCTTATTTAATGCCTTTCCTTCACCAACTTGAGTACTAACAATAGGTACCTATTATTATTAAATAATAAGTTTGAAAATGTTTAATAAATTTAAATCATATATATATAGGTTTATAAAAAATATATAAAAGTTACCTCAACATCCACATTCATGTTCCATAAAGAAAACTTTCCAGTACCATCAACAGAAGCAAATTGTGCTGGATGACGAGGTGACCATTTTACATCATAAACATAATCATCTGAACTTTCAAAAGAATGTAGTGGTGTAATAATTTGGAGATGTGTTGACGGTTTTAAAAATGACTTTTGAAAAAATATCAGATTAGATATTGTTAATAATTCATAATTAGATATTATTTTTACAATAAATTAAAATTATCTTACTTCAGCTCTCCATAACTTTACAGTCCAATCTACGGATGAAGTCAAGAATAAATCAGAAAACTCTTCTGAACCATTATTAGGGTGGAAATGAAGACCAGTGACCGGGCCCCAATGGCCTTTATAAAAGTCATATTGGTTGATTCCAGCTTTGCTAAAAAAATAAATGATATTTAAAATGATATTTAAAATGATATTTAAAATGATGTTTTAAAATGATATTTAAAATGATGTTTTAAAATGATATTTAAAATGATGTTTTAAAATGATATTTAAAATGATGATAATTGGAATGAACGAAAAAAAAAAGTAATTACCCTCCAGGGCGTCCACGTCGATTAACTTGATATACATTACCCTCTTCTGTTCCGACCCAAAAGGCTGTAGTTTCATTATCTGGGAACCCAAATGCAGTAACTGAAACTTCATCAGTTTTACTATGTTCAGAATGTATTAA